AATGGCTTAATGTGAATTTCGTCAACCATTAAAGTGGGATATTATCGTTTTCGTCTAAAAAGCGGATTTTTTCCTTAGCATAATTCAGGAAATTTTCAGGAGTTTGCTCCACTTTAGGATAAACATTATATTCAGAACACAATCTTTTCAATGTAGAAGGATGTGGCAAAATAACATATGCACTATTTCTTAAAAATTTATAGCAATGTGGAGAAATTGAAAACATCAAACTTGATAATATTAACAGATCAGAACTATACCTATTATTATTTTTATGCAAAATGAATAATGTCAGCTGCTCAAATATAAACTGAACTACTTTCTTTTTATGTTCAGGGGTATTTTTTTCTAATTCCCGAAAGCCTAAATAATAAAATTTTGAAGCTGCTTTCATTATTATCACCTTTAATTTTTGCAACTTCTTTAAGCAATGAACTGAGATTATACACATCATTAATTTTTAAAGAAATTCATGGTTACTAATTTTTGTTAATGGAATATCTCTAAAATATGCTTCACTTGCAGATCATTATGGATAACGACTGATACAGATATAAAAGGAGCAAATTCTGTATTTATCTGGAGGAAAAATATACTACTTTCTTTAATCACAATTGTTAAATCATCAGGTATCTTAACATTTTTTAGACATGATGAAAGCTCAGATTACTATAATTATATTTTAAAGTAATAAAAGTAGGATGTCTAGTAATGCAATTTATATTTTAACCCTTTGCGGCATGGTGGGTCAATATATGTCCCACCTAATTTATATTTATTTTCTCAGTTAGCAATTTCCGTTAGAAATTTTCTAATCTTTTAAAAATAATCTATTTTAGTTATTATTTTTCTCATTAGATGTTACTACTATACCAGGGCTTAAGTTTATAAGCAAAAAATATTCAAAATACTATCACAAGAGTGATATCCATGTATCTCGCACTTTTCAATATTTTAAAAATTTTGGTATACAATTTATGATATGTATGATTCTTTTTAATATTCAAAGGTATTTTATTTTCAAAAATCTTAATTGGATTCAATATTTTATAACATTAATTTTGCAGTTGAAATAAGTGGGTTAAAAATTGTCCCACCACACACTTGAATTTCCGCTCAATAGATGGCAGCACTCACGATTATTTTTTCCTTTCTTTTTTGCATCATCTTTTTTCGTGATTGCGCGCGCTTTTACATCCGTCGTATGCTCTGATGTGCTAAAATGTCTAGAAAAAAGTTAACAACTCAGGAAGCTTTGGATCTTTTTGCTGAATTGCCATCCGATGCGACTTCTTCAGATGCGATTGCTTCAGATGTCAGTTCTGATTCAGGTGAAACTGAAATCCAGGAGAAAATAACTGAGGTTGAAGTTATTGCTGAAGAAGAAAGGGAAGTAGTTATAATTTGTTTCGCTTTTTAAAGACACAGACCCATCTATGCATGTGGCTGCCATCTATGCATGTGGCACTGTAAATATGAATGGGAAGTATCTACGCAAAAATTTAAAAGACAAATTTATGTCAAGAGAATATATAGACTTTTCAGTTAGCGATGATTCAATTTATTGCATAAAATGAAAGGATAAAAGATCTGTTTCTATCCTGTCTTGCTTGGAAAAGGCAACTGAAATGAAAGAAATTAATAGAAAAGAACGAGATGGAAAGACAAAAAAAGTATTGTGCCCAAACAGCATTATTTCATACAATAAGAATATGGGATATGTCGACTGATTGATCAACTGAAAGGACTATATGAAATAGACCTCAAAAGCAAGAAATGGTGGCACAGGATTTTTTTTTTTTTTTTTTTACTTTTTAGATGCAAGTATAGTAAACGCATTTATTCTATTTAAATTTGTTCGCGAACCCGATCATGACGTAAAAACAATGAAAGATTTTATTCTTTCAGTTATAGAAAGTCTAATGGCACTTGCAGGCAAGAAAGAGCTGAAAAGAAAACTGAAATCCCCAGTTCAAATAAAAACTAAAAACCTGTTCGTACAACCAGAAAAGAGACTAAAACATGTAAGTCACACGCCAAAGAGAACGAGCAGAAGAAGATGTGCATATTGCAGCACATCGAAAGAAGAACGACGAACATTTTGGATGTGTGAAACATGGAAGTGCCTCTATGCTTACAAAAGAATGAAACATGTTTTTCAAATTTTCATGAAAAATGACTTTTTTTCAATTTTAATCATATATAAATGTTTTTGAATCAAGTGCCAATTTTAATATTTTATTTAGTATCATATGTACGAGTATCAAACTTTAATCTTAAAATAATATTCAAGAAAATATTTTCCTTTGTTCCTAAAATTTAAAAATATTAAATATATATATATGCAAAATGTGCATATGCAAAATTTTACAAGTCATGCATATATGCAATAAGTACAAAATGCATTTTAGTGTGTTTATTATGAATATTTTAGAATGCACGCTTTATTTTGTTTATTCATTCCACATATGATTTTTTTTTCCTACTATACACCAATATGCTATAAGACATGTATGTGCTAGTTGCATGGTGAGACAAACGGTATCCCACCTTACCCCGTAAAAAATAAAAGTGCAGAATTTTTTTCAAGCTTTAAAGGCACTTAAGTAAGTCCATCTGACTTATTCTAAGGCATTTTTTTAAAGATTAAAATATATTTTAAATATGCGTGTCGCAAAGGGTTAACAAAACAGGTAATAGCAAGCATATGTGTTTGTCTCCCACTCGGGAAGGGGGGTGGGGGAACAAAAGGATTCTTAGTGACATAAGTTTTAATAATATTTGAATTTTCATGCATTAAGAATTTAAATTATTTCTTGTTTTACGCAAAACTGTGCACTTTATATTACAATTTAAAAAACCATAAGCATATTTATTGCCTTCACAGTTTCTTTAGAAAAACTTTTAAAACTAAAATATATTAAATATTAAGCTAAATAATTTCATTTGCTGTCATATATGTATGAAGTTAAAAGTTCCAAGTTATAAAATTAATCAAAAAGTAAAAAATTGGACATTTTAAAAAGTAAGTGAATATTTAGCATGAAATTCGATACATAATTATACTAATCAATACGTAATTACACAATATTATACACAATGTATTCTATAAAAATGAAATTCCTTAATATTAACGTATCCATTCTTTTAAATGTAGAAACAAATACCTTAATAAATTTAAATTTCAAGTTAGGCTTAACTTAACCGAGAATACTTCGAAATGGTAAAATTTTCTCGCGGTATCGATTTTAACCATCTATGTAATACAGCTTGTTGCTTAGGAAATCTACACACTGCTACTTCAGAACCGTCACAATAATTTTCTTGGCATAACGACACACAGCAAGGCCTGATTGAAATCGAAAAAAAATATCAATATCAAATTAAGGCGACATGGTTCACGTGCCTTCTCACGACCAAGGACGAATTTCCCCTAACTTGATAATGCCATCTAGATGGCCTTGGTTTAGGGGCGATTTTTCACACCTCATCGAGAAGGCCAACAGTTTGTAACATCACTAAACTATGAGCCTTCAGTAGGGAGGCTTGTGTTTAAGAAGCTGTTGGAAGGACCCACGTGGTTAAAAGAAGAAATGGAATATTGGCCAAAACCGAATTATGTTCCACAAAGAACACTGATGATTCCAATTAGGAACTAAGAAAAACATTGAAGGAAATTTTCATAAATTCATGCATTTCCGAACCTTCCAAAGATTTATTTAAAGCCCAAAATTACAGAAATTTACACCAAATTTACCGAATTACTGTGTGGTGCTTAAGGTTCATAAACAATCTTAAAAATACATCGAAATTATCAGATTACCAAATTGGAAACGGTAGAACTTTATTGGATCAAACATGTTCAGGAGCAAAATTTCACAAATAAAATATGGGCATTGAAAAACAACGAGGAATTAAGTTCAGAATCAATACTGAAGTCCCTCAATCAATTTCTAGACGAAAGTGGTGTAATTTGTGTTGGTGAACGATTAGAAAATTCAAATTTGGATTACAAAAAAACACATTCAATTGTGAAGATCATTTGACTGATCTAAATATTCTTCACAGTCATCGGGTGGTAGGGCACGGAGGAATAGCAGATACTTTAAATCAAATAAGAGATAAGTTTTTGTTGCTGAAGGCTGGTAGGAAAATTAAAAGTGTCCTGTACAATTGCAATGTCTGCAAAATATTTTGAATGAAACCTGCCATGCAAGATATGGCACCTCTCCCAACAGACAGATGCCAAGAAGCCTTTCCATTTGAGAACTCCGGAATAGATTACGCGTGTCCACTGTACGCCAAAAGTGGAAGAGAATTATCTAAGACGTATGTTTTATGTTTACCTGTGCTGTAACTAGAGCGGTGCATTTAGAATTACAGCTGACCTTTCCACAGAAAAATTTTTGTTTGCATTTAGACGGTTCATAGCTAGAAGAGGTTTGTGCCAAATAGTGTATACCAATAACGCCAAAACCTTTAAAAGAGCGAAAAAAGAATTAGAGCTATTGGAATGAGGTGATGAAAAACAATAACGTTCAAGACGAGTTCTCTAAGCAAGGAATCAAATGGAAATTTATAGTTGAGAGGGCGGCATGGCGGGGAGGCTTTTGGGAGTGTATGCTTCAGTCTCGGAAAGTTCTTCTGAAGAGAATCCTAGGCAAATCATCCTTGACATTTAGCGAATTAGAGACATTCATAATAGAAGTGGAAGCTATATTAACTCCAGACCTTTAACATTTACATACTCTGATCTAGGACACCCAGAATCTTTAACCCCTGGTAACTTCTTAATTGGAAGACAGTTACTGTCATTGCTGCAAGGAAGCTCTAAATTAACTTCAACAAAGGAAAGTCTTACACATCGATTTAGACACCAACAAATACTGGTAGAAAGAATCTGGAGAAAATGGAGACAAGATTATTTGATGAATTTTAAATCTGCTCATCATTCTAAATTGGAGAAAACATGAACCTGTTTGAAGAAAGGAACTATTGTATTATTGCATGAAGATAAAATTCCAAGGCTGATGTGGAAGATGGGCATCATAAGGGAAATCTTTCCTGGATGAGATGGCAAGGTGAGAGCCTGTGCTGTCCACATGCCCAATGCCAACAGGTGAAAACAGGAACCTGTTTGAAGAAAGGAACTTCTGTATTAGTGCATGAAGATAAAATTCCAAGGCTGATGTGGAAGATGGGCATCACAATGGAAATCTTTCCTAGAAGAGAAGGCAAGGTGAAAGCCTGTGCTGTCCGCTTGCCCAATGCCATACGATTAAAAGACCAGTGCAACTACTATATCCGGTAGAGCTGGAATGTAATAAGGACAATTGCTGCAATTGTCCTTTTTGGCTGGAGAATGTTGCAACTCAACTGTTGCTGAGATCCAATGGCTGAGTAACGTCATCTCGAACTATGAACTCTCGTACAGAGATCGTACGAGAACTCGGAACAGAGAAATCGCACACTACGTCGTGCCAAAATTTAAACCCCTTTTTATGCTGTAAATATTTTGTAACCCATTTGTGTCTTCATTAAAATATGTTTGTTTAAAGAATGTATTGATCATTATGGATTTACCCTTGAAAGATTTTGCAGACAGAGATGTAAAGAGGAGATCAATTCAACCAGTGGCCCTGGCAGAACCTATTGGGACAAGGTAAGCAGTTTTGTTTTACCTTGATTAATTAGTTAGAAATGTAAAATAATGTTAACGATAAGAAAAGAAAAAATAATAAGGACCAATTCTCCACAGCTAACTAAAGAATTAAAGAATTTAAACTTTAAGATAAAGCTGACAGCTTTAAAAGTGTTGAGAATTGGTTGGGATGAAAGAACAAATATGTTTTATTTCAATTTCAGAAATCTAGAAACATTGGAAAATTTGGAATTCGAAATTTGTTTTATTACAGATTTCGTATTTTGTTTTTGATTAACAAACTCAATGACTTCAAAACAAGCAATGGGAAAAAAAATTTTTTTTTACCTCCAGCGCACGAGACTGTGTATCAGAAATTCTAAAGATATGCTCATTTTAAAATTTTTTTGCAATATTACAGAGAATTGAGATATTGAATTGAATTTTATGGTTTAAGTGCAAAGAACATGATATTTAATAAATCAAGGTAACACGCGAAATGTTAAAAAATTTTCCTTTGGGCGTAATATAAAATCTGAAAACTTTCAGATTTTTTTATTTTTTTTTTTAATCCTTTAAGCAAACACCCATACTCATTAAAAAAGTAACTTTTAAAAATATCTTCAATTCTGTTCTCGAAAGTTTAACATTCTAAGCAATATGAGTCCCTCCTTTAGCATCAATAGTGAACATGTCTAAAATAGTTTTATCCACACATACATAATCAAGTGTTTTTATACATTCCAGTGCAACAAGGATATTCATATTTGTTCATCTCTCTTTACTTTCAGAAGTGCACTATCAGTTGATCATATATTTCTTAGCAATTGGAGACACTATTTTGTGAAATGCAATTTATATAAAGTTTTCTGAAGCTTGAAAAACAAAATCTTACTTTGCAAAAACTGCCAGTGGTTTCAGTACTTACCTTCTGCAAACAGATGCTGCTACTTCTAGAACATTAACTTTTAGCTAACAGTATTTCTTCCTGACAATTACAAAATCAACAAAATGCTTTCAATAAAATTAGAAAATCAGAGTTTTTAAAAAAGTGAAAGATTTTATATCTATTATCCCATTATCTTATTTTTATCTTTACTATTACTTCTACGTTCGTCGCCTCCCACCAAGATGCCAATTTGTTCGCAAGTATATAACAATGGAGCTACTGAAGTTAGGAGGGAGCTTTCAGCAGCACTCATTATTTTTTACAACCTTTGCATTATTTTTCACCCAGCTTTTAGAGTTATCCAAATCGTCTTTAACCTTTAGCTAACTGTCTTTGCTTGTGTATTTAAGGCCTGAGCCAAAGCTTTTAGTTTACTTTGCCATGTAAATTGCATATCTTTAACTATTTTAGCTTACTTTAAAATTTATGTTCTCTGAGATATCCTAAGCAGTGGTTACTCTTTTTGTAATACACAAGCTGTTAAGTTGAAATTACAAAAAATGTTTTATTTTAAAGCCAGAAGAAAATTTATTTTAAACTTTTCCTGGATTCATATTTATTTCATTAGAAGGCATGAGATGAGACAATAAATCACCTGATTATCTAATAGAGCCAAAATTCAGTTTCACAGTTCTTTAGGTTTTCACAGAAATGAACTTTAGAAGATTTAATTGCATAAAGATCCACTAGATTAACTTTTACAGTGTGCTAAGAGAAACCACATTTTCATAATTTTAAATAGCTCAATAGTTAATGGAAAATTCTTCTCGTCTTTCTTTTCAGATAAAATCATTTTGTAAGGAGAGAGTGAAAACTGCTAAGTTGGAAGGAAATATTATAAGTTTTATACTGCTCTGACAGCTATATACTGCTTTAAAAAATATTAATTTTCATAAAATATTATCATCGAATCAAGGAAATCCATCACTGAATCTGAGGAAAATTAACACTGTTTTATATGATCTAAGCCAGATCAAGCATTAAAATGAGTCAATCAGATTTAGACTGGATAGATACGTTAATCAAAAAATTATTCATTAATTAAAGTAGCCAACAATTTCATATTTACAATGAAATTTATCTAAATAGTTGTACCTAAGTGATTTTGTACAACTTTCATTGCTATACTCCACTTGAAAATCATTTAATCTGACCAACTTCTCAAATTTAATTATAGTTTTTTATTTACTTACGTCACTCCTCTGGAAGATAAAATGCCACGTAACAAAGAGACTATGAAGTTTCTTAACCATGAGCTGCCTTCCTCAGTTGCATCCTCTATGAGCCCATCCTCAAGCTCCTATAAACATAAGAAAAATTTAAAAATGCAAGATTATTATTTAAAGCAAATAGTGTATCACTTGTACAGGTAAATAGTTATTAAAAAAAATATGAAGTCAAAACATAAAACCACATTATACTAGTTACTAATAGAAATGCTTATATCTTTGCTCAAGTCTCCAACAACAAATATTGAAGAATACACACTTATGTATGTTCCTTGCATTGCAGAAAAACAGTGGCACCTAGAACCACCAAACTGTAAACACACAAAGCCCTCCACCTGATCATGCACATATTAATGCTAGAATTTTGAATTCATTTTTGATTTATTTCATATTTTCTGCAAAATTTAATGAATTCTAGATTAATACACTTGGAGACTAAAAGCAGTGTGTAGCCATTCTGTAACATTTAAGATATTTATGTTTCAAATTTAATCAAAAAACTTGATGATTAAAAAAAAAATGTGTTGCCAATACCCAAAAAAATACAGTAGAAACTCGAGATACGAGTTTAATTGGTTCCAGCATTGAGCTCATATAGCGAATTTCTCATATCTAGAAACATCGTGCCGCACCCCAAAAAATTTCATTCCATCTCATCTTCAGATGACGTACCTGATGTTTTTTGGAGAAGGTCAAAGTACAGATTCTTAGCCTTGGCACAAATAATAGCTTCCGACACCAAATCGCCTTTTAAATACTTCTCGTTAATCCACATTAACATCTTCTAGCAGTTTTGGATGGCGCTTGGATGCAGCAGAAACTTCTTTTTCTTTGCAGCACCATCTGAGGCAACAATCTTCTTGGCAGGCATAGTGAAATAATTATTTTCTCAATAAAAGTAAAAAAATAATTAACTTGCAAGTGAACAAACACGTAGATCAAAGAACACTAAGCGTTGGGGAAGTCCCTGAGTAGAGCCTGATCAGAAAATGCACCATGCATACCAGCAGCCTGGCTCGTTGCTCATTTCTCGAGTCAATGCTCATATTTAGAGATTAATTTTTTGCTTATGCTTTCCTCATATCGTATACAGAGGTGCTCGTATCACGGGGTTCCATCGTATTTTTATTTTCCATGTGCCATTTTGTTTCCAATCCACAAAGCATAAGACATCTTTTTTTTTTTTTTTTTTTCCCCAAATTTAATTTGCCTATTACTGATTCACAAACTAAGCATTTTAAAAGCAAAGAATGCAGCTCTTTATGTCTGTCATTATTCATTAATAGATGGATGAAACTACATTAGCAAGACTCATTAAAAACACATTTACATTTTTTATTTTTTACAGTAACTATTTTCGATACACATTTTTTATTTTTTACAGTAACTATTTTCGGTGGTTTGCCACGGCAATAGCTAATACAGTAAATAATTTTGTACATTGGTTCAAAGTGGTACTACTGTACTGCACAGCAAATTAAAAAAAAATGGAGAAGTATTCATAAATTGATCATACAGTAATGAAATAAATAACAAAATGCAAGAATTATGGTAAAGTGGCAGTGCATTTAAAAATTTTGAATAAAAATTTTTAACCCATACAAAGTTTTTCTCAGAAGGCAAAGATACACTCTGGAAAACAATATTTATGATAGCAGCCCATTGTTAAAAAGAGAAAATTCAATTCTTGTGAACAGCAATATCCTTAAATAATATCAGAAAAAATGACAGAAAATGACTGACATAATAATAAATCATGCACAAATATTTTAATTGAAGCTAAACACTTTCAGATAGAAATTCAGCATGAAATTATAGTTAAAATATGGAATTTCTAATTTAATTATGCAATAATAAAAAAATTTACTTACTTCTATTTCAATTTCAGGAAGTTGGAAAGAAAATCTAAACAAGGATACATATTGAGCAATAGATGCAATTTCCCACCATGACTGAAGTTCTAAAAAAACAAGATTTAAAAATATATATATTAGTCAATCTATTTTTCCTCCTCATTGCAAAGAAAATATTCTTGTCAATATCGTAGAAGCACAGATACGTTTCTTGTTAAATTTTGCTTTAGCATTTAAAAGAAAATTATAGTACTATAGTACTCTTCTGTTAATGGGATGGGATTCAGAAATGTATGCATGTGTGCATGCATGGATGTATGAAAGCATATATATATATATATATATATTATATTAAACAAATTAAATTTAAATTTTAACAATAAGCGCCATCTATATAATTAATTTGAAGTACACACTTACTTCTCTTTAAAAAACACTTTTGCAGACCCCAACGCTTATTTAGTAGGTAAGTTAGAATTAAAACTTACTATTTACTTGCTTTAAGCATTTTTAAAAATTTTTTATGCAGTATTTAAGTATTTTCTAGATATGTAATATATTTTTAAGTATCTATTTGTTTTTTAAAAATTGTGTAAATTAGTTCTTTATGTTTCTTATTGGTTTATATGGATTATGTCTAGTTCTTTTTTAGTTTTTTTTATTGATATGCATATTCGTGTCGGGGAGGTTTCTGTAGACAAGGGTTTCTAAAATAAATTAGTTTCTAGATTATTTTTATAAAAAATTAGTTTTTTTTTAAATTTAATTTTTTAAAAAAGTTTAATTTAATACTTGACATTACTTGCTTGTTTCTCAAAAGACTTCATTAGTATTTTCCTTTTAAAACTAATTCTTAAATGCTTATTTCTAAGGGTACCACTTTATCGGTATTTCTTTTTGGACATTCTTCACTTTCTACTTTTGGTTTTGACTTTTACCCTTGCCTGCATGAATGACGAAACACGAATTGAATGATTTGGAGAGTTAGGTTTGGAGGCAACTTCCCCTTGATAAGTCTGTCTCCTGCCTGCTCAACAGTCATTCACTTATGCATTTTTTAAAAAAATTGTATGGATTAATTTTAATTTGCTAAATTAGTGAATTTATTTTCATGGATTGGTTTTGCACTTGATTTGCTTATGCTTCTGAATTTAAATGATATTGTAGATTAGTTCGAGAATTAAATCTTTTATATGTTTACACATTTTTTAAATATATATGTATATTTAAAAAAAAATTTTTTGGCTTTAAATTTGCTTTTTTTAATTTTGGCTTTAAATTTGCTTTTTTACTTTTATACGTGTTTGTTAACATTTAAATTTAATTTGTTTAAATTTAAATTTCATTCCTTGCAGCAATGGTGCAAAGAATTATTTAATTAAATTTGTATTTAAATTTATTTAAATTAAATTTATTTAATTAAATTCAATTTATTCTTATGAAACAATATATATATAGTTGTGTACACACACATACAATATGAATGGACATATATACATGAACATCCATACATACATACATACATTTCTGATTTCTGTCTTGATAACAGAAGAGTACCAAAATTATTTTCATACTTCTTATTACATTTAGAAGAAAAAGCTAAATAACTTTTTAGTTCTGTATTTAGAACAAAACTGTAATCCTTATTCTCATCGACCTTTTTTAAGTTTTGGCTTAACACATACATAATTAAAACAAAAAGTTCCAAATATCTCATTAATTTATCAAATATGACAGTTATGAAGCATATACTGATTACACATTCTAAAATATAGTGTGATCAGAGCCTGCACCAGAGCCACTGCAATCAATAAAGCTGCACATGGTAGCAAAATTTAGGAACAGCAAATTTTGAGAAGCACACAGTGAAAAAAACTTAGGAATGACAAAATTCTTAGAATTTAAGGCACTGGGCAGCAGAATTTGGTGGCAGCAAAATGTTTATTATTTAAGTAGGGACCAAGCAGAAGTGGTTAGAACAGAGACTGTATTGGGCAGCAAAGTGCCCAGACCAAGCCCTGAGTATGATGCATTTTTAGATAATTATGTACTAAAATATATTTACATATATTTACTATTAAATAACAGAATATCTATGCTGGATTAACTACTGCTTTATAGTGATAAACTTTGCATGAAAAGTGAGTCAAGTATTGAAAGTAGCACTATTCGTTGAGGAACAGTGTTGTAAGTGGTTCAAAACACTCTCTCGGGCTGTGCTCGAGAACTACATTTGATAATCCAAGGCTTTAACTGTTGAGCAAAAATGCTTTCACGATCTGAAGACAAGTCAGGAAACTGTTTTCTGCATTTTACACATTGCAGTGTTATTTTCTTTCCTCGTGCTTTTGGCAAAATAAGAGAACTGTGGCACATGAAAGCCTTAACACAAAGTTCATAAACACATATTAATTCAGCTCTGATAGATTATAGGGGGAAAATGTCACCAGGAAAAAAAAGGGACAGAAAGAAGGGCACCGGGAAAAAGGAAACAGAAAATAAGTCACCATTATTTTGCAATGGGGGGATAAGACACATTTTGAAATATCACCAAGTTGGGAGAGAAAAGTTTTATCACAACCATGACTTCAGACTAGCGGGTACTTCCTGATGATGACTGCAAGAATGTAACCAAGCTGTTGCCTGTTCGGTAGTAAAAATGGAGAGGTGTCATTATCAGGTCATCAATAAAGGCTCCCTTACAATCCATGTTGAATTATAACTTTTAAGATGTGGCTAAGTGAAATACTGACTGTTGCATAACTGAATCAGAGTTCATCTGACCATTGGTATAAAAGCAGTATTAAAACAAACTGTTGTTGATGCAATTTTAAGTCCAGTTTGTGAAAAGAATATTACTAATTTTTCCATTATTAAGCATTGCATTTTTTTTTCAATTGAATTTAGTTAAAAGCAGGAAACAACTGTTTGTATAAGAAATAAACAGAATTACAGGTAATTAAAATTTTAAGAGGTTTATTTGAAAACTATGCAAAATTTTTAAAATCTAATTAAAATGGATCCTATGCCCACATCACTTGGATTTAAACATTTAATATACAATGAACCATCTTATGGTGACCACTTCCAAAGGTGACTAGTATTTCAATAGTAGAAACTTGTACAGTACAAAGTCTGAGATCCGGACTCATCGGGACTTCGGCCATTCTGGATTTGGGATTTTTTCAGATATTAGATCATGAGTTTAAATCTAGTAAGATGGCATGTAGAAATTATAAAATTAAAAATATGAACTAATGGACTAAAGGATAACAAATTTACTACAAAAAAAAAAAAAAAACAAAAAAAAAAAAAAAAAAAAAAAAAATTGATATTTATTTGTTTACTTTATTAAACATTTTCTTCAATGTAAGTTCAAGTTACTTTTTTGTAATACAAGTGCAAGTTACTTTTACTTCAAGTTTTTTTTTTTTTTTGTGCTGATATTTTCTTTTTAATTTTTGTAGATAGACTTTCTAATTCAGTTACAAAGTTCCATTGTTCAAGTCCTGTAATTGCTGTGTCGAGAATTCCAACTAGCTTGTCAATTGAGATTTTTTTGTTTTCAATATCCTCTCTGTCACTTTCTTCACTATTGGTAGTGGTATTTTCTGGAGCTAGAATCATACCATAGATTTCACAGTTTGTCGATTGATTGATAATTGGGGCATAGTCATCGCAATGAAAAATTTCGGTTATATCATCTTCATTCATTACCACTTCTCTATATTTCTTTAAAAAATCCATTAATTGGAAAATTTAACCTTTGGTTTGTGATATTCAAAAATCTTCACAAAAACACACCAACCGAATTCTGTCGAACCTCAGGTATGAAATGATTTTCAAAAGAATCATTCATTAACACTTGTGTCATCTGTGTTCTTTTATTTCCATGATATATAACAGGAAAGGTTTTACTTCTTTAAATACTCGAGATCGTGTGTTTTTCCCGATTACGAAAAGTTTACGCTTGCATGTTCCTGCCACATTTGCACATGCTAAAATTGTTAGCCTTGCTTTGGAATCTGTGGAAGAGTTGGAGCCTTTTCTATAGAGGTTAGCAAGGTATTTTGCAGGACATATTGGCAGAAAAGGAACGGTTTCATCAGTGTTGTAAATTCTGAGATAATGTTTAATAAGTTCAATGAATTTATCAGAAAATACTTCAGCAGCTTCAGTATCAGATGAAGCTGTTTTTACCTGAAATTCTTAATCACTTATATCATTGTGATTTTTAAATTTGGTTAACCAACCTGTCGAATATGTGGACTCAGTTTTTAAGTTCATTTCTTAGTGAAATATTTTAGCTTGTGCCATTACTTCACTTTTAGCATAATGAATAATGCTTCTGTTATTCGTTACTAGCGGGGTGTTGGAATCCAAAAAAATTCAAAAAGTTTCTGTTTCTTGTGTCATATACAGTTGACTTCCCAGTGCCATATTCTTCACATAATTTTGAGACAGATATACCTTTACCTATTTTTTGGAACAATTCCACGTTTATGTTTAATGGACATCGAAACACGCTTTTGCTTTGTAGATCCTGTTGCAGCTCCGGAATTAGAAACTCTTTTTGACATGATCAAAAGTTGAAACTTTTAATTTTCATCAACATGCTGTAATTAAAAACAGCCTGCAAAAAAATAGTTAAGTTCAATCAAATCAGAAAGTTAAGGAACAGCACAATCTGCTATATTGGCTGAAATTCCTTGGAATCAGTAAAGTATAATTTTAGCTTAGCTTAATAGTGTCCGCTCTACATTACTGGCTATGTATGATGAGATTGGGGATGAAAGACAAGTTGTTCCGCTTATTTTATCTTACTTCTATCGCGCACTGAGACAATTAAGCCTAATTGTACTAGTTATTTATTATACTTATATCTATTTCCTCCACATGCGTAAGGCTTATCTGAATCCTGAATTAATAAATTCCCACATATACTTAAGGCTTATTATCGAGGAGTGGCGCTAAATATCTTACCGTCTGATGCAATCTGGGCGGATCCATAATTCTGCTACCAAGCGCCTCCCCAAGTTTTAAATTTTTGCCGCCCCTAAATTTTGGATCCCAGTGCTTTTGCTAAATTCCAAAAATATTTTCCTCTTTTAATTATGTTGCTCGGCACTTCTCTAAATTCCAAAAATTTTATCTTCCCAAAATTCTGCTGCCCAGTGCAGCCATATAAGCTCTGGCACTGGTTCTGGGTTTATGTGAAAAACAAATCAGCTATTCTTCATTTCATTCAAATAGCACTAAATGCAATCTTTTGGTCTACGAGTATCATTAATAAAATCTATTTTTAGCATATGGAAAGAAATTGTTGTTCAGTTTTTCCTTGTCAATATTTCTTAGCGCATTTAAAATAGATCTGTAATCACTGCCAAACAGAATGTCAACATAATAGGTTACCATAAGCTTTGTACGAATATAAAAAAAAAATTGTTTGGGCATCGCTGCATGAGTCATTAATCAAGTTGTCATGTATTGATAAACATGCGGTGATGAAAGCAAAATATAATAAATAATTATTCGCGAGGTTGGCATCAGGGATATAAAATATTATTAGGTGTAAAATCAATGAAGTTTCTATCTAAAATATTTCGGTTTGAGATGTATGCCAGGCAGATTCGCAGCTACGGAGCCAATTTATTGATCCCACAAATTTATGTAAATCATTGTTTCTTCAATAACGAGGTATTTATTTAGTATCGAAGAGAAATTGGGACTCTCCGCGTTTTATCTACGGGAGAAAAAGTCAAATGTACATGCGTAAAGCATTTTTAAAAAAAAGTTGTTGGCGGTTTTGAGGTCCGGATTTTAGATCATTTCAAATCTCGGACTTTGTACTGTACTGAGTATTACCTCTAATACAACGACCTCCACCAAAGACCAAAATAAATTAGAAATGTGAATGGTCATCATAGAGAGGATTTAATATATTTTACAAACATTTGTAATGTATTTTACGAGAATTAATTTAAAAAATTCAACATATAATTAACCCTCTTATTGCGACCACTTCCAAAAGTGACCAACAAGCATTTCCAAAAGTATTAATTAACACTTGCACTAAACATCATCTCTCTAAGACGATCACCTCCACAGAAGGGGTCTGTTTCTGGAACAGGGCAAAACAAATCTATTTAAGAACAAGTAAGGGTGAATATATGATTTTTTCTGAAGCATCTTGGAAAAACTTCCTTTAAAAAAAAAAAAAAAAAAAGACTTAAATAACCTGCCGTTTGCTTTCCTCCCTCAAGAAAACCCACATAGCCCAGCCATTAAATGAGAATTTGGTTGCTTTTCCTCTCATCTCCGAATGGCAATATTACTTGGCGAGATTTTTTTCTAGTTCCTTATTTGCCAGAGCCCTCCTTTCCTTATTTTCCAGTCTCCTTCTTTCCATTTAGTTCCCCCCCTCAGTGCCTTCTCTTCCCCCCCCATCACTCTGACTGACAAGTGAAAAGGTGCATAGCCGTGGCACATTCAACTGTATACAAAGAAAACAGATCAAGAGAATAGTATGTACAGTCAAAAGTCGTTAATCCAGATGCCCATAATCCAGAATGATCTATAATCCGGACCTCCAAGCTACAAACTTTCTGCGCATGCGCGTAATACCTTTGCACATGCGCTTAATATGTTTACGCATGCGCGTTTAATGTATAACGGACGGTATAAGCTAGGCTAAAATTATCTAATTATCTATTTCAGTTAATGTTGCAGATTGTGTTGTTCCTTAATCTACGAATTGGATCCGGCTTATTATTTTTTGCAGACTGTTAGAGCAATTTTATAAAAGTAAGTTTGAACTTTCGATTATGTCAAAAGAATTTCCAATTCTGGAGCTGCCAAAGGATATCTACAAAGCGAAAGCACGTTTCGATGTCCATCAAATAAAAAGTGGAATTGCTGCAAAAAATGGATAAAGGCACATCCTTTGTTTCTGTAACCATTCCGAAATCTGTTTATCAATTTCACGCTGCTCTGCGGGGGAGGGGAACGTCGTGGCGCACAATGAACTGGAAGTTGATCTGTCAGCACTATCCTTATCTTCAGGGCAGATGTTTTTATTTTATTCGGCTTATAATTCATTACTAAATGTAGTATTTCATCTCGATCAGGGGCGTAGCTGGGGCAAGGGGGGGGCATCTGTCCCCCGGGTGCAGAATCCAAAAGGCACCAAACTGATGTTACGACATTTTAGAAATAAATATTTTCCATCCTTGGCAAGCAGTAGGGGGCGCAAAATCTTCAGTTGTCAATGGGCGCTGAAAACCCTAGCTATGACTCTGATCTCGATGTACTCTGTCTTTGATATGATTTAAATCAAATTCATTATAAATATCACAAATACACATCAAATAGTTTTCTGGTTCCAATTTTCTAATTTCGACTATGTGTAATGTATGCTGTATGCATGCGCGCGTTGAAAGAAATGTTTAATAAAGTAAACAAATAAATATTAAGCTTTTTTTTTTTTTTTTTTTTTTTTTTTTTTTTGTAAATTTTGATACCCTTTAGATCATAATTGTTCTTTATTTCATAAATAACGTTTTCATATTTTTAATTTTATAATTTCTTAGCAGATTTAAACTGATGATCTATAATCCGGAATCACTGAAGTCCCAACAAGTCCGGATTAAAGACTTTTGACTGTATAATATTTACTGTTATAAATCTCAACGTTTTCTTCTAAACTTGATCGACTAGAGACAATGTCAAGATCACATACCACAAAGCATGATTCATTTCAGTACATCACCATTCTAAAAGCTGCAATTCAAGCATCAAACTGATCATAAATTCCAAAAGCAAAACAGAAGGAAAAATAAGGGGAAATTTCTCATTAAGAGAGAAGTATTTCAGTTTCAGTTCTGTTGTTGCTGCGAAAAAAGAAACAAGAATGTGAAAAGGTGGTCCTTTTCAATTTTTGCAGTGCATTCTAAAAAATAATCTCAATAAAGTTCTACATATTGCATTGTTGTAAGTGCTGTTAGTTGTGAGAAGAGTTTTCTAAAAAAATTGTTTAATGTGAATTTAAAAATTATGAATATTTATTTTGCAAGAAAGTCATCTTTTTATAAATGTTGGAATCAAAGTTTTTCTTTAAAAAAATATTTAATTTAAATTCCCTATAAATGTTCCCATTTTTTTAATTATTTATTTGTATAGCAAGAGGGGGGGCAAATTCAAGGACCATCTCCAGTGGCAAAATAAGGGGCTGCCTCAGGCGGTAAAAGCTCTAGCTATGCCACTGTATACACATTGCATCTAGTTATGCTGACATGCCCAAGAAAAAAAAATAGTATAACATTTGAAGAAAATTTAAATTTATAGTGGCTCAGAGTACAAATTGGACACTTACTTAAATTTAATAAAAAAAAGTTTCAACTTAAATAATTTAAATAAAATGAGAAATAGTCTTTATAAGCAACACTCAAATACATATCGATCTACCATAAACAAGAGAAAGTTAGCCACAACTAGTTTTTAACTTTGTTTTTTAACTTATAGAGTTGAAACTTGCCTCAATAAAAGTTGGACAACTTTTGTGTGTGTGTGTGTGTGTTTGTGTGATTTTTCTAACTTAAAATGCAAGATTTTTTTATAAGCTTCCTGTTGTCAGTATCGAAAAACTGGTTTTTGCTGGCTACTTTCCGTTCTAAAGATTAAGACTGAAAAAGCAATTTGAACAAATGCCATTGAAAATTTATGAGCATGTAATAAAGTATTTTAAACTTCACATCTACAGATCAGACATTTGATGCAATGTACATCATTCAAACATTATAAAATTTTTCACTTTTGATATCAAGTCTTAGTTTTACACATAACATTTACAAAATTCGTGACCTATTTATACAATATTAATGTAGATAATAACAGACAACTCATCCCGCAAACAGACAATCGATAACTGAGACCAAGGAGTGTAATATTAAAGTTGTATTTTCTCTTCATTGAGGTCTTTGCTTTCAGAAAAATTATTACATAACTTAGCAAAAATACAGCATCTAACTATTTAAACTAATAGTGAGTGACTAATTATTATGCTTTCAGAGAATCAAAAATTTTAATGCAAATAGAATATGGGATATAGATTTTCATTTATTTGAAAGATTAAATGTACATTAGTTTTTATTACATTATACTAGGATTTCAATTATTATGAATTCACTAAATTTTTGTTCTTTATATTACATAGCTATCAGCCAACTCTTACATATTTACAATATACATTAATTCTAAGTAGATTAACTCCAAAATTATATTTGTTTATACAATTTCCTTCCTAATATAATTCTATTTACATAATTTCCTTCCTTATTTTATACATATTATTTCTCATGCCATACTCTAAACAAAAATTGTAATATATGAGACATACTACAATGTCTAAAAGAATTCCAATGAGTTCCATAAAATTTAAAGATATATTTAAATTTTTACAGCCTGTATATCTCTAAAGGAAGCCTATTTAATCCAAAAGAAGATAGTAAATTATCCATTGTGAATTAAATATCTTCTAAAGCTTTTTTTTTTTTTTTTTTAAATATCACGCTTTTTTTCTGCTTAGACGGGCAGACAAGATCAGAATTTTACGTTTTATGAAATAAGAACTTTAAATCAGCTTATTCGTTAAACATCAAATACCAATTTTTGGTAAGCAAAACAAAAACAAAGTACCTTCTCTCATCTGAGTTGGATCACTTTCTTTCGCCGGCAATTCGGAATTCATTGTTAACTTAAGAAATTGGCATATAAGTAATCAGTGAACTAAAAGCTAACAAAAATCTTTGGCAACTTCACAGTGTATAAGCATTATAAATAAATAAATATTCTCTCAAATATCACTACAGTTACTTAATTAACTCATTTCTAACACAAACAATACAGCGTGATTAACTAACCCTTTCTCTCATTAGCATAAAAGCACATGGTCACAGTTAGAGCTTAGTGCTTTGTATAAATAAAGTTTGGGATAAGGTTCGGAGAACAGCCTTGGTTGCGCCAATTTGGCTCCTTTAAGGATATGGGCGACATTGTCAATATCCTCCTGCTTGTCATAAAAATTCCGCGATAGGCGGCTGTAATAATCCTTGAGTTCCTCAAGTTTTAGCTCCTTGTGGAGCTGTCTATTCCTAACGTACCAGGGGGCATTGCAAATTTGTCTAATTGCCCCATTCTGTGCTGCTTGCAGTCTTTTTCTAAGTGATTTACAAGAGTATCCCCATACCGGGCAGGCATAACTCAGAATGGGGCGTAACATAGAGTTGTAAATGAGCAACTTGTTATCTATAGATAGAACGCTTTTTCGAACAATTAAGGGGAAGAATGAAGCTTTACTAGCTCGAAACTTCTTGATAATATTTGTAATGTGTGGGTTCCATGTAAGAGATTTAGTGAGGATCACCCCAAGATAAGGGACCTGCTTGACCGAGGGGATGCTTTCTCCATACATCTGCAGGCAGACTGGAAATTTCTTTTTTGTTGTAAACAATATAGCATATGTTTTCTCAACATTAACCTTAATTCTCCACTTGACAAGCCAATCCTTTAATACCTGGATGTATTCTTGTAAGTGTTGTATAGCTGAACCAACAAATGCGATCAAGGATCAAGGAAGTGCAAGTTACGGAGTTCATAGGCAATTACGCCTTTACCTCCACATCTTCAAAGGAAATTAAATCATCAAAAAGAGGGGATCGTCAAATAGGGTAAAATTTTGATAAGCCGAATGACTTGGAATAAGTGCCTTCACACTGAGTCAAAAAAGGCAAAAAACTCAGAAGGTCTTAATTTTGCGCCGAAAAAGGGCCAGAATAATTTAGATAGGGGCAGCCATAAAATTTAGACTAGAAAAATAAAAGGTGAAGTTTCCTTGAACCTTGATAATCATGTTTTGCATACGTCAGAGGTGAAGAGCACGCAGGGAAGATTTTCCGATGCGCATTCTTCAGGGGTGGGGGGAAGGGGAACCTGTTTACAGGTCGAAAAAATAGTTCTGCCAGTGATCAGCTGGGAGGGAGAAGTTCCGTTTTTGACCGCTATTCTATGCGGTATTTAAAGGCCAAAAAGGACGCTGTTAAGTGCCTGAAGAAAGTTTCTTTTTAAAGGAAGAAAAGAAGCTATAATTTAAAAATCTTTTTACAGTTGATTCAATTTCATAAAGTTAAAATAATTATAAATCAGTCCTATTTGACTGTGATGTTTCTTATTAAAGAAACGTTAAAGCGGGTTCCTCGGTTAATGCCGTGTGCATTAAGGAACTTTAGAGGCGGGGGGGTTAAGGAACGAGAGGTAGTTATTCACGTGGCTATCAGTGTGCTCATATCTAGCCCGTTTAAATGGAAGAGCTGAATATTCCCTGTTAAGAACTGCTCTGGTTTAAGGCTCCTCTAAACCAGGCTGAATCACCAACTTTTCTCTCTTGGCGAGGGAGTGAACGCGCTGCCAATTTTGGCGCGTTTATCGCACGCGCTGGCTGAATGTCTGCTGTTTTTTTAAAGATTTATTTTATAGACGCGCGGCATTCAGCGCATATAAACTTTTCGGATAATTTATTAATTCTCGAATAGTATATAGACGTTTTCACTTAAATAAAAATTTCGCGTATATTTTGTAAACATATTCAAAATAACTTATTCTTTAGATGTTTCAGTTTCGTTAGCAGACTAAATAAATAAGATATGAATAAAAACTTTCAATAGTGTCAAATGGGGAAATAGTTAAAGCGTAGAGTGTGCAAATAAATTTATCTTAATGACATTTTAACAAAAATTTCCATAAAAACACTGTAAATTCATACTAAAAAAATAACTTAAGAATATGTCATTTAAGTCTGAGGAATATGGAAATAATTGTGCAAGATTCTGAAGAAAACACTTTCTTTTAAATGTGTGAAATGTTTCATAACATATATGGAAGAAGAAAGTACAGCATTCTGTGTTTTGGATGCTTTTCATCAAATGTAATATAAATACGAACTAGAAACCGTAATAAAAAAGTCCTTCCTCTTCAATCAGATCACCTTTGTGTTGCATTGTATTTGTAATACTTCTAAAAAATCCAATTTTTACCTAAATTAAAAAACAGTTATTCCATAAAAGATAATAACTTTGAACGTATATAGAATGAATTTTGTGTAATTTGAGTTATGTTACAAAATAATTCATAGTTTATATATTTTATACTAATAATTTAGATAAAACCTGTCCAATTTAAGAATGTGTGTTAACCACATTCTTAAATTGTAAAAAGGACGACTTAATCAAATGTAATTCATTTCAAAGCATAAAAGAAAGCTTATTTTTTATTTTACACAGCAACAGCATTTTCATGCAGTCAAGTTTTTTTAACTGCTAGTTATTATACATAACTTAATTTTTAAACCCATTCTTATTAGAAAGCATAACTAAGAAACTTCTTTTTAAAGCACCACAGTGATTGCAAAGAATGTCGTTAAATTTACAAAAGTATTGAAGATATATTGAACAGCATTATAACAAGAAAGTACTGTACAAAATATGTAAATTTAGCATAACTTCTTTTTTAGTATTTGCATAGTTTCCTCCAAATGAACCTTAATGGGAAGTTATCTTGCGAAAATTTAAAAGTATTAAAATCGGCCTCTATTTAAGATGTAACTGCATTTATAATTATTTTGTAATTGCGAATAGATTATATTATTGCAATTAGATTATGCACTTACAACATAATTGCATAAAGTAATGAAATTAAGAGTTCACAGATACAATGTAATATAATTACAATGCAATTATCCTAAATTGTAATTATAATCACTTATTTAATACCACAATATTATTACAATCACAATGTAATTTAAATTGGGTACTATATTTGCATACCCTCCACTCAAAAGGAGGTACTGATAAGCCTGGAAGTTATTATCAACAAAAAGCCTGTTCAGGACAGTTTGATGACAATTTCCACCGGGCGAAAAGTACATTCTTAAGCCCAGGCAAATCATGACAATAAAAATCATTTAGTCTTATGATTCACTATATTTTAAACCCTAAATTTGAATTCTGCACCAAATTATTTACCTATATTTTAACATACTTTATGAATTATTAGAAGCGATATGGCAAATATCTTCTAAAAATAACTGTAAAATATTTGTATCCATTAATTGATTCAGATACACACTTTTATTATTTAAGTATATCAAAATAACAGTTTCATGTTCCTGAAATACAAAAATTATGGAAAAAGTTAAAGTAATATTCTTAGAAGCATATGATATTAGTCATCCAGATGCAAAATTATAGTTAATTTTTTGCCCTAAATACAATTTTATTACACAGTAGTCAAATGTGTAACTTAATAACATGTTATATAAAAAATTAATGATAATAAGTTTATCAGAAATGAATTAATTCTGCAAATAAACTTTCTGCACTTGAAAATTTTCTACACCTGAGGGGAGGGAGAGATCTAGTAAAATTAGATTTATTATAACTTCAGTTGGACCAAACACCTTCTCTCTATATATATATGCATCACTAAAGAAATAAATAAAATTATCATGCTTAAAAAACAGATATACCATACCAGTTTTTTTCCCCTTGTTACCCTTTACATTGAGAAATAACAAACACTGAAAAATACTATCCTTGAAATTTTGTTTAAATGAAGAAACACACACCATCTTTTTATTTAAGCATTACACTTCAAAAACAGATACACATACCAATTTATTTTCACTAGCCTTTATACTGATAACATGCCATATAAAAATGAAAAGAATTATCCTTGAAATTTAGATAAAATGAAGTAATACATACATTATTCAACAGGATACACATAATAATACAGGATACACATTCTGACACATATTCATGAAGGTTCACTGAAACAGCACAATATACTATAATATAACAAAATGGAAAAATTTATGCACACGGACATCTTTTTTCTATTGCATGTTGTCTGACATGATCCACAAGTGCCTAAAAAATGTACCCAAAGAAACGCATTTCAATATTAACAAAAAATTGTTTACAGATTAAAATTCATTCATTTCATACCAGTATTATAAAGATCATGCATGAAACAAATCTGCTTTCCCATACTTTAAAGTAAAACTTTTATACTGGAAAATAGACTATATTTCTATATATTAGAAACAAGAAAATACTAATTTGAATGTTCTGCATTCATTTCTAAATCTTTACTCCATTGCCAAATTGTATAATACTGTGATTATAAATAAAATTGCACAATCCTTGCAGTTATTGAAGTCAGATTATATATATTTTGTCTCACACTATTCAATTTATTCTATTGACTTCAGATGTCAATGTCAAAATTCTGGAAGTTATTTTAACCAAGAAACAGTAGTGGGTTCCGTGCATAAACAACTCATCTAACTTTTTAACAATAGTGATTATAAAATAAAGGAAAAAATTATATATCATTCAAACGATATTGCAACTATAGTGTAATGTTACATATATCTTTAGCAAACATTCAGATTTTATCTTGACTTTCCAAATTATTATTTATTTTTTAATAAATTTCAATATGCTAATGATTTTCATGTTACATTAGTATAAATTCCACAATTAGCACAGGAAAACAAAATCCGCGCTTTATATTAGAAGAGAAATTTCTTTTCCACATTCAAAACATCTACATTGGCGATGTTTGGCGACGGTACATTAACCCTAGACTAATTTAATTATAGCTATTATTACAGAAATTAGCAAATACTCAGGTTATTGTACACAAGAATTTCACTTTACTTGCACATTATAAACATCAGAGAAGATATAAACTCTAAATGAAGGCGTAATTAACATTATACTTACTAAGCAAAGTTCAGCGCCTGGACCAGGTTTCCAATTGTCTCTTCGGCAATTATTTACCCATATTTTTCTTCTTCCATTAGGATACCATTTGTTTTCGTGAATTTAGTTATCTTATGATAAGAAAGACCTAATCGATTATCAGGAGTTTTTTCCTGCGGATAAGAGTTTCAGATATATGCGACGACAAACGCTGAGAGTTTAGTTTACGGAAGTTAGCGGGTCTCACGTGACCGATGGCAACACTAAGAGGTTACCGTAATTTGCGCCAAAATTGAAAAATGAAGCCAAATGTAATTTTTGGAAGTAAGCAATACAGGTTTTCGCCATTTTGCTTGCACGTGCTGCTGTGGGGGAAGCAAGGTACGTAGTATTAGCGCTGATATTTTGTGTTTTAATTATCTTATTTTAGTTATGTGTTTGTCTAAGCAATCTGAAAAGATGAAAATACTCATAATCGGGGATTCTATGATTAAATATTTACAAGAATATTTGTCTGCGAATTTACCTGATTACGAAGTTGATTTTCGTTGCTTTCCAGGAGCTAGGATTGAAAGGTTGACACGTGAGATTGCCTTTATGAACAACCATTTTCATTTAGTTTTGGTCCACGTTGGTACCAATAATTCAAATGACGATTTAGATGAAATTCATCGTAAATATGGTTGTCTATATAAGGGAATTGAACGATTAAACCCGAAGGTCATTCTGTTTTCAGGTGTTCTCCCACGATGCCCGGATTTATATCGAGATTGTAACACGTATCACCTACAAGAACTTAATAGGAAGATACTAAACATAAATTCAAGATTTCTCGCAACATACGAAGGTAAAGATGGGTTTTTCTTTTGCAGCTCTTTTGACTATTCTTGGAGTACTTGTTTATCCAGAGACGGTTTACACCTAAATCGGAGAGGTAATCAGCAGCTGGGGAAAATTTTTGTAAAAGATATCAGGATAAGTTTGACTGTTGCAGAGGTAAGTGCACCATTTTGTTCTACATCCCTTAGCAGTTTCCCAGCATTAACCAGTATTCCTTCTGTTCTGAGTACTCATTTGGGTAGTAATAATCTTGGTGCTTCTGTTTCCAAACCACTCTTTTCAGATGTTGTGAAACGTTCTTTAGTTTCCAGTGTTCGGGTTTGTAATTCTAGAGATTTTTTGTGCCATGTTTCTTCTTCTAAACCGCTTTATTCAGATGTTTTAAAGCATGATTGTTTTACTAGCTCTGTTTTGAATACTAATCCCAGTATTCCGAGTTTATCAGATTTTCCACTTCTTGAATATTCACTTGGCACTAGTGTAAATTTTTTGGATCCACCTCCTAAGCCACTTTACTCAGATGTTTTAAAACATGGATTTTCTAGTATGATTTTGGATAGCAGTTCCAGTGTTTTGGATGTATTGGATTTTCCAGCTCTCGAATGTACTGTCCACACTACATCAGGTGTTTTAAATTCTACTGGATCTCAACTTCCTGATACTGCAGCTATTTCTGAACTTCCTGGAAATTCAGTGTCTAATTCTCAACCTGCAGGCTCTTCGGATTCCAATTCATCATCATCTCATCTTGGTATCAGTTTCAATTCTTGTACTTCCATGTCGAATTTTCCAGTTTTTAAGGGTTCATTTGTTTGCTCTGATTCAGATTTGCAGAAGGCTACTATATCTGTATCTAAATTTTCTTTTATGTCGTTAGTCACTTCTCAGCCTACTGGCTTTTGAGGCTCTGTTTCATCTACTCAGCTTGTCACCAATTCCAATACTTGCCCATCAGTTGTTGGTTCTTGTGCAAATTTTAATTCTTACCATCCATATTTTCATTTTAACAAGTTTTCTATTCTTAAAAATTATTCAGAATGTTCTAACATTAAGTTTGGGGGTGCAAATGATTCTAATCAGGGTGAAAGTAATGTACAGAAATCTGAAAATGGGTATGTTGAAGAAAACTGCAAAGTTATTACCTCTGTTAACCCAAATATAAAGACTATAATTTGTCCATGTTGTAAGAAAGATTTCTCTTGTAAAGAAACTTTATCAAGACACAAACGTAACTGTAAAATTTTAAATAAGGATAATTTATGTACTACCATAAAGAATGATGAAATAGAAAATAAATATCCAAGAACGTGCGAGGTATGCATGAAGTCATATGCTTCAAGACAGTCATTTTTTAATCATAAAAAAAAAGGTGTAAATCTGTGTCTTCTGAAATTGATTCAAAATCATATATTTGTGACAACTGTGAAATAGACTGTAAAACCCGCAGTAACCTTTTTCATCATAAGAAGTTTTGCTGTTCTAAAAATAATTTAAATATTCGTAAACCGTGTGTTTTTCCTGATTGCAAGGCATCCTTCCAGTTTATTAGTGATCATAATAAACATTTGGCTGAATTTCACAATTCTGAGATGGATGTGAAGGAGCTTACATTTTCATCAATGGTGGAGTTTCAGCTGTGGTTAGAATGTCATTCTAAGGAAACATTCAGTTCTTTTAAGAAGTGTTCTGGGAGTAAACATAAAGTTAATAAAGCATACCATTATTATTGTTGTCACTTCACTGTAACACAAAAAAAAAAAAAACCAGTGCCAATTTCAAGTAGAAAAAATCTTAAAGGTTCTTTACCATTAGGCTTCAGATGTCCATCCAGAATTTTAGTTTCTGAGGAACAAGATCTTGCGACAGCTATTTTTTATTCAGGTCACAATCATGAGCTGTCGTTTGAAAATACCAAATTTCAACAGCTTAGTCAGAATTGTCGTGATCAAATCAAAACTTATGCTCAGTTAGGTGTTTCCACCGATCAAATTCAAGAATTTATCTGAGATGGAAGTGGATCACGTGATAATAGAGAGAGCTTAAGTATTAAAGATAATTTTGTAACATGTAGGACTATAAATTACTATGTAAAGCGTGTAATGATTTCTTCTCTTAGTGATGATTCACTTTCTGTTGCTGCCATAGTTGAGAAACTTAGGCAGGAATCGTATGACCCTATTCTTATTTACAAACCTCAAGGAAAACCAACATTGTATGGTCCGAAAGGCCTTGACACACTGTCTTTTGCACTAGGATTGCAGACAAAGGAGCAAAAAGAAATGATGATTAAAGGTTGTAGCAGGATTTTATGTATAGATTCTACTCACAAAACAAATCAGTATGATTTTTATTTGCTAAATTTAATTGTCCCAGATGAATTTGGTAGTGGTTACCCCGTAGCACATTTTATTTCAAATCAGTTGGATCAGGATACGATGTACAATTTATTTCTTAGTATCAAATGTGTAATACCTGAGCTTAATATTAATTGTTTAATGACAGATGATGATAAAACTACACATCCTGCATTTGAAAAAAAGCATTTGGTCCAGGTATTAAACATATACTATGTAAATGGCATGTACATCGTGCATGGCAACGTAGTTTATTTCGAATGGTTTCAAGTCAAAAACTTAGGGATGAAATTTATTTTAATTTAGTTATATTGCTTGAAGAAACTAATTCTTCTTTATTTATTTCTATGATGGATAATTTCCTTCAAAAGTTTCGAGCTGTTGCACCATCGTTTGTAAATTATTTTGAGGAGTATTATTATTGCCGAGCAAGTCTGTGGTCAATGGCATACAGAAACTTCCCTCATGCATTCACAGATACTAACATGTATTGCGAGTCATTTCACAATAAATTGAAAACTATGTACTTAAAACGTAAATTTAACAGACGCCTCGATAATTTAATTAATGTGCTTTTAAAAATTGAAGAAGATATTTACATGGCTTATAAGTATAAAGTTGAAATTAACTGTAAAGAGAGCATCTACCCGCCAACTTATAATAAATGACATGAATCTGGAATGAAAATACCTGATAGTGATGTAACAGAAACACATCCTTGTTTGTGGTCTATAAAATCACAGACACGTAAAAATATTCAATATACAGTTAAGCGGTTGCATGAACTATGTTCAGAAACAGATCATTGTTATTCAAAGTGTATTAACCTCTCCTGTCTAAATCTGTGTCATCATTTATATAATTGTAATTGTCCAGACTTCAGCACACTATGTAAACACACGTACATAAAATACACTCAATTACATGCAGGCAACCAAGTCCTTCTGTAATTGCAACAGATATCCTTAAAGCAGAAAACTCCTCCCCTCTAGAATTGATTAAAAAATCTAATGCTATTTCAGATACTGTTGTGTGTAACACTGAACCTAAAATTAACACTTGTAAGACTTTAATGTCTGAATTATTAGTTATGTTGCCGCATCCGACAATCCAAAAGATATTAATACCTAGTATAACAAAGAATTTAAAAGATATAGTTTCTAATTGTAAAGGTGCAATAAAAAATCAAACCATTTGAAAGATTTTTCTGATAAAATGCCATTTACTCAGGTTGCTCCAAATTTAAAATTATCACGTCAAACTCTGTTTCGTACAACATCTGTGAAAGGTATAAAACGTAAAATTCTAGATTATCCCGATACTTATAATAAAAAAAAATGTCAAGGAAGGTTTGTTAGGGTTATCAAATAATATTAATGTGAATGATCATAAATCATCACAGGATACCACAATTAAGGTTAAGGGTAGCAATTTACTTAAATATAATTCTTTTACCTCTGAGCTTAATGTATCCGATATTTCAAAATGTGTTCTGCGAGCTGGGGAAACACTTCTAACATTTCTCGATATAAAATCTCTTGATCCTTATATTTCAAATGAAGAAAAATTTTAGCCCTGAAGGCTGTAAATAATAATTTTCAGCTTGGCTGGCTTAGTGACAATATTATTGATGCTTTTTTTTTTTTTTTTTTTTTTTTTCCATTCTTCATAATACTTCTTCCATAGCTGCCAAATGTTACCATACACCATTTTTTCAGTCAGGTAATAAAACTCAAAATGTATGGAAAAAAGCTGATTTTGCATCTGTTGATTTCTTTTTTATTCCAGCTCTTATCAATAATAATCATTGGGTTTTACTTGTTGCAAAGATTAAAGATAGAATGTTTCAGTTTTATGATCCACTTGGTTTTAATGCCGTTCAAAATTCTGTGTATTCATTAATTCATTTGTGGCAAAGTATCCTTAATAATGTTTTAGATATATGTGATAATTGGTATTGTTCGTTTCCCAATCACGCTATTCAGAATGATGGCATGAGTTGTGGAGTATTCATTTGTTATTATGCCTATCAGATTAGCAGAAATTTAGATGTTAAACAGGCTTTCAATTCATATGAATTTAGGAAGTTTATTTTTACACAATTAGGTGGAGAGATTGTGAAAATATAGATGTTAAATATATAATTCATTTGTTTTAAATATTATTTAATTTTTGTTTTCTGACCTATTGATATAGCATTAAACTCACGTAGGTAGTATTTTATCTTGTGTTTCCTGTGCCCTAAGCTTTTTTTATATATTTTACTGTCGTAACTTGTAAATTCAAAGACTGCATTTAGTATGAATTTTCTTTCTTCTTGCTTTAAACCTTGAATTGAATGTTTGTAAAATTTAATTCCGAAATGTATTTCCCGTATTAAATTGGTCTTGTCTTGTTATTTTTAGTAACACTTGATGGTACTTAGCTTCAAAATTGGCTGTTTAAAGCCTTGTAACATAGTTTTTATATAGGCCTTAAATTATCATTTTTCTTTCAACTAGCTGATATAATTTTCTTTGAATGTTCAGAATTGACATTACCAAAAGAGCAGCTATGTAAAAATGTTAGTTTAGGGGAACCAGCATGGTAACGAGCTTGCACAGTACCTCTTGGGTGGCATGGAAACCTGTGTATTTTTATATTGTCTCAATGGATTTGAAAAAAAGAATTTTTAAGTATTCTTTATAGTTAATGCTTAAGTTAGATTTTCACAATGTGTTATGTGTTAAAATACTGTTTTTATGCTTTTCTAGTACTATAACCTTTTAACAGTGACAGGAGGATAAAAGCACCAAAAATAAA